CCATGTTTCACCCTTCTTAGTGGCCTGACTTATGAACTAGTCACTGGAAGATAGCTTGTTCTAAGTTATTTTGCTTTGTTGTTGTGGATCCCTAACAGGCTTATACCAGGTCTTCCTGCGTTCTAACTCGGTGTGCCACAGGGCACCACTAATGTACCTGGTGCAATGGTAGTGCTGCTCTTTCTGTGCAGTTTGGGCGCACTCTCCTTCTAGGGGCATTATGGAAGAGTGTGGTGGGGCATAGGCCTTTTCAGACTTCGGAAGGTGCAGCTAGCCCTGCTTGCTGGTGAAGGTATAGGTGGAGGGGGATCAGGCTGCTGGGCAGATCCTCAGCTGGGAGCATTAAAGAAGGGCTAGCTGAAAGAGGGAAGGGGAAGTTTGTTAAAGATGGACAACCTGAAAAGAGAAAGGTCATGTCTTTTGTTTGTCTGACTTCCTTTGCTGAGGAGGGGTTTGAATAAAGAACCTGTTTGGAACCTGGAAAGACGATGGCTGAGACTCATGCAAGCCCAACAGCAGGCACAAGTAGCTCACAGAGAGGTGCTTAGATTTTCCAAGAATACTCTAATACACATGCAGTTTGGTAGCAAGGTAGGAGTTTGGTAACAAATATGGCCAAGAAGTGGTTGTATTATGAAAAAAAAATGTTGTATAAACACAACTCAGTTAATATTTCTAGCTGATAATTAGTCAAGAGGACTGGGTTAACCCAGTAATTAAAAGAGCTGCATTTTAATTTGGGCAGGCGCTTAAGTAATAGGTAATAGGTGGCTAGTAATAGGTGGTTAGTGGCTAAAGAATAAAGACCAATTGGAAGAACTTGGGTGCATAGGAGTCGGGGACTGCTGTAGGACAGCAGGATTTGGAAGCAGCAAGGTCCAAGGGTTTTTTTTTGTCCAGTTGAAAATGTAATAAATTAGAATTGCAATTGGGAAAAATACCTGGCTACTATTTGGGACCTCTGAAGAAACAGTAAAATAGCAAACTGGGTGAACGAATAAGATATTTATAAATACATTCAGAAGTTTTTCATCATACTAAGTTTTTGTGGAAATTGCTTTAAAGATTCTAGTTATGATGAGTCAGTTAATGAGATAAGATGTAAGAATGAGATAAGATGGCAGACATTACACTTAAGACATGATTAACCAATTAATCATGTCTTCAATAGTTATCTAGCCGTGTGTCATGCAATGAATGGCAAGATAAAATGGGGAAAAAAGCCACAAAATTATTTCACAGAATATGCGAGATAATATTATGGCTGGTTTCCATCCTCCTTTATACTGAACATGTGATAGGGTCCCTGCCATGCAGCCTGCTGCCAGCTGCATAGTGGGGCTGTGGGACCAGCTCCAAGGCTGGGATTGCCAATCAGCTGATTGTCAGTCTCAGCCCCAGGATCATATCAGATCCAGTTCAAGATCAGGGAATTTGGGGGGGTGGCTGTATTAATGGCCACCACTCCCCTGCTGCCATATTTCCTGACTTGTAGAGATTCCAGCGAGCCTCATGCAATGGCTCTGTGGGTTGAACACCCCTGTTCTAGAAGGTTAAATGACCCACTGCCATGCTAAACTACACATTTTTAATTGAAAAGCTACTAGGTAAACGAGTTAACCAGAACAGTAGTATCCCAAATTTTTCAATCTGTCATTTCCCACAGGTCCTGTTCTTATGCAGTCTTAAAATAACATTGTACAAAAGGAGAACCACACTTGCCAGCTGTGAAGTGGACAGGAGTCTGATAGACTAGGGAATGAGACAATGAACTTATTTGAAATAAGTTACTCAACTGTTGTTGGGAGATTACATTTTTAGGGCTGTTCTGTTCTGGGTGGGATGTAACCTGACAAATCAGAGATGGGACACTTGAATATTCAGTGATATATAAAAAGTCAGAATGGATGATCTAATGGCTTATTTTGGCCTTAATATTCCATGAATCAGTCCACTATGACCCAAGATTTTAATCTAGCATTTCCAAAACTTAAAAGCTGAACCTCATTTCAGGAAAGAAGTCAATCTGTGCCTTCCACATTACTAATAAGCCTACATCCTAATTTTTAAATTGCTTGCCCAATATACCACTTCTCCAGTTAATCTTCAGACTCAACTCTCCATCTTTATGGAAAATACAATATAAATCTTCATACTACTCTTCTCCTTTTTTACATTATTGGTATCTATGCTAGCACCAAGTAAAAAATGAAGTCAGTTCACAATGCAGAAAAAGAAGCTCTCAGAAGACTCAAATAAATATTGCCGCTTCAGATACATTCGCATAATGTTTGGAAGGTCATCTCTGCATCCACAGCCCCTTAAAAGACTTAATTTCAAAATTAGTAACTGAAAACAGAGAAAAATCTTCTGCATGTCACAATGTAGAAAATACTAACTCAAGCAATTCAGGTATACCTCACAAAAGTCCCACCCAATTATAAAAATCCATGCAAGTTATTCTTGAAACATTCTTGCCTTAGCATATACAATAAATAGTTTGTTTAAAGTGACATTTTAAAACTATCTGCTTTTAAAAGATTTATACAGTTTCCTATGTTAGTATAAACCCTTTTAGCACAAATGAAGTTATACCAATAAAAAAAGATTTTTTTGTCAGTAAAACATGCAACACCAAGCGGGTTTTGCCATCCTAGACAGCTATGCCATTAAAAAAATTACATTCCTATCAATGGCCAACATAGCTATGTTAGCAGAATTTAAATATAGGCCACACCTAATAACGATTAGTAGCTGCCTGCAGTAATAGCTACCTTAAAGTCAAAATCTTGAGTCTTTTGATGTTGATCATCTATATAAAAAAAAAAATCACAATTAAAGAGGAAAAACATCTAGTTGATTGTAAAATCCAAAAATTAAATATATAAAATGGGTTTATTTTGTCTTAAAGAGTGTCCTGCAAGAAAAGCAGCAAAGGACTCGTGAAATTGATTTTTCCATTCTAAAAGAATTTAGCATTGTAGTTTATGGTGGTTAAACTGTCTTTTCATTACCAAAACAGCAGACACAAGCTCCTAGAGCAAAAAGGAACTGTTCACCATCTTGCCTGGTTGAAAATTAGTATTCAGGTATATTAAGAAAAAATTATCATAAGCAAGCTCTTGCCCTTTTTGCCAAATACAGAGGTGGATTTTTATTTGTTATAGAAACTGTTATACAATTAAAGTGATGTATGCTCCATTAAGCTGCTTTGGGCAATAAACATGAATGTAATGGTACTGTTTTGCATTCATATCATTCATAACAACTTGATTTTGGGGGGGGGCCAAGTAACACTTGCAAATTATAATGTTGCTTCATGTGTTTCCATGCATGTCAGCAATGATCAAAATAAAATCCTCACCTTGCACATGAAGGATTATTTCATGTTTAATTCATTTTTTACAGATACCAATATTTTGAGAACTGGCTGGACATAATGGGAGAGTACAATGTGTGTAGGAGTTCTTAGGTAGGTCCAAAGTGATCTATAGTACTTGTTAGCACTGTGTTCAGAAACATATATTTAAAAGGCCACGCGGTAAACTAGTATGAATGTCTGTTCTTTTTTATAGTCTGTAGTCATGTATATATTTTTTTGGCTTTCAGATTAAAAGAATTATGCAAGTCACACATTTTAAAAGACTGTTGCTGTTGTGTAGGATTTTCATAATGTTCACCCCAAATCACTTAACTTTTTTATTTGCAACCCCCACCCTGCTTTTCTCTGTGTTGGCTAGTAAGCGCTGCCATGGCCCAATCAGGCTATGCCTCGGGCATCTCTCTCTAAGTGACCTGGTTTCTCTAATAATTGATGTGAGTAGATCACAACCAAGCGTACATGCCTGCCACGTGTGACAAACTGCATTTATGTGACAGCGTGTGCTAGAGCTACTGAGGCTTAAAAGGCCGGAGATGGTTACACACTTTTGCAGGCTGGTACTGAAAACTGTGGGTGTTTTAGGTTGGGAAGAAGAGAGAGGGGAGCTGCAGATGCTGAGGCCTCTTCAGTAGCCGTTTCTCTTCGCATTTCAATCTACAGCATTGGGCAGGGCGGCAGCATGTCAGTAACACCAGCAAGGAGTTGCACAACAAGGGGAGGCAAGAGACAGACCCACACATGCACACTGTGCGAAGTAGGCAGTCCCACACACAGATGCTCTCCCCACATGCACAGTGTGCAAGCTAGGCAGCCCCTGCACACACACACTGTGCAACCTAGAGACAGACACACATGGACCCCCCCTCGATACACATTGTGTAAGCTAGAGATGACCCCCCCCACACCCATGTGCTGTGCAAACTAGACATATGTGCATGTGCGCGCACACGCACACACTATGCAAGCCAGGGACAGATCCACAAGCAGGCCCTCCCCCCCCCCCCCCCCCAAATACTGTGCAAACTAGACGTATGCATGCTGTGCAAGGGTACGCTAAAGGCAGGTTCATACACACATGGTGCAAGCTCAAGACACTTCCCCAACACCCACACCATGTGCAAATCAGATAGAGACCCACACATCCAGCCACATGTGTGCAAGCTAGACAAACCGACACACACACTGCACGCAGCCCCCCCCCAAGCTAGAGACACCCCACAGCCCCACACACTTGCATGCCAGACAGCTGCACACTCCCACACATCCAGGGTGCAAGCTAGACAGACCCCCGCTGTAAACTACACACACACTTCGCATACCTCTATCACGAACGCACGCACGCGCGCGCGCTGTGCAAGCTCCAGCCAGGGACACACACCCCCCAGCCCCGTATCACTCACAGAAACGCATGTGTGTAAAGCTGGCAAAGAAGATTTTTTTCCACCTATGTAGTTGCTCTAATAAAACACATCGCATCTACCCAAAGAACACGGCGTGGCGCTTCCGCGTGAGCTATAGCCAGGACCCCTCCCCCACACCCCGCGGCGCTCGCTATCCAAGCAAACGTGCTCGCAGCCCGCGTGCTCCCGGCCCCGGCCCCGGCCCGGCCCCGGCCCACCTTGACAAAGGCGATGGGCGTGGTGGTGCCTTCGATGTCCAGCAGGATGGCGCGAACCGCGGCCGGCACGGACAGCACCCCCATGGCCCCGCCCGCCCTGCGCTGAGCTGCACCCACTGCCGCAGCAGCTGCGCGCGAGGCTGATGCCGAG